CTGTCTTTAGTGCGCGGGTCAGAGGTTTATGATCCGTGAAAAAGGTGACGTACTGACCTTCAAATATCCAGCGAAAGTGACGATTCGCATGTGTTCCCGAACTTTCGATGGAAATAGCATACCGATGGCGTACGATTTACTGAGTTTGAACGTTAGCGCGACCGCCGTTGATGATATTTGCGCAGATGCCGGTAGTTGTTCCTCGATCTATCCGTTTTTAGAGCGGCGGTAGCACGTCATTCTAGCACACGGCTACACACGAAGAGAAACAATAGCATAACATTACAATATAACCTGACTATAACGACAAAACAAAACAAAATTGAATTTTAGGATTAATATTTAAAGTTAATTAATTTGACTATAATATCATTTGATAGTGTTTCAAAATACCTATCTTGCCATATCAAAATATCTGTAATAAATGAAATAGACATATCTAGTGGCATGATTTTCAATTTTATTTTTAGTTTTTGGCTCATATCTCAAAATGAGCATTTGTCAGATAACGGCATTATAGTTTGTGGACGGCAGCAATAAGCTGACCACGAAGTATAGCCCTAGAAGGGATTTCGGGTTTTCTCGAGCGTGTCAGATTAACAAAGTAGAAATGCCATACACCCAGTTGAGTACCTCCACAATACATGATCTCTACATACAGGTTGAACGTCTAGAGTAGCCCATCAGATTAGTTAAAAAAAAAACAATGGCCAAAAATACTCAAGCATGTAAGAATAAGGTAAGTTGAGTCAAGTCATATAGCAGTGGGAAAGTCACAAAGTTCGAAAAAAACACATGACCTTGTTTTTTTTTAAGCAAAAAATAGAATAAATCTTCTTTAAATGTCTACATCACTTTTGGTGCCTTTATCTGTCACATTTTATAAAAAAATCATAAATTCAAAATATTTCAAATCAACAGACTTAAAATACCTTGCAAAATTATCGTCAGATTTTTGGCTAGTATGACAGGAACATAAAGCCGTCTGTATCAAAACTAACACGCTCAAGAATTTCAAAATGGCGGTTTTTTTGGAGTTTGCATTTTCGATAATTGGCTACCAGCTTGTATCACTTTAAAATCATCAGAACGTTTAATGGGAGCATTTTTGGCGCCTAAATACCATATCCCAAAAATATCTGATGCACCCGATTTTTTTTTTTCATTTCCTCCCCTTACATTTTTGAACACCTGTAGAAGCTTTTCCCACCACTGAAGGTTGCAACATTTTATGACTTTTATTCATTCTATTGCCTATTCTTTCAAATGCAGTAGGTCCCCTTGACGCTCAAGTAAATTCCCATTTATCATCATGGTCGCCCTACTACTAGTTTTAACACCTAGTTCTAACCGTGAAGAGTTTACTCGTCAGATCCACTGGGAATGTGGTCTTTGATGCAAACGTAATACTGAATAGCATACAGGTATATATATGGAGAGGGATACTCAGAGGATCTTATGTTAATTAGGGTAGATCTATCTCACCAGGGACTTCCTTTCTAGGGTACACCTGGTTCCCCGGTTATTAGTACCCGAGACGGCGTGCGGTTTTCGTCGGTTCGAGTCCGACATGCCACCGATAGGTATCCGAAGGGATATCCGCACGGAAAAAAAAAAGGTAGATCTATCTGCCATACTAATTCATATGCCATTGAATCAAACATCACTTAGGATTCATATCATCATTGACGAGCCTGTTGGTCTAGTGGTTAGTGACCTTGACTGCTAAGCCGGAGGTCTTACACCCAGGACAAATATTTGTGTCACGAGCACGATTGTTTGTTCTGTGTATGGGTGTAATTTATCTATAATATGTATGTATTTAGAAATATACTACCTGACCCCGCATTGTATTGTTTTGCCATAAACATTATTTCAATTTTTTGTCAAAAAAAATAGGGGTATGAAAAATAGATGTTGGCCGATTCTTAGACCTACCCGATATGCACACAAAATTTCACGAAAATCTGTCGAGCCGTTTAGGAGGAGTTCAACTTCTAACACCGTGACACGAGAATTTTATATATTAGAAAAGTATTTTTATAAGCAGTCTGGTTATCACAGGCTTCGCCTAGTTTGGAATCGGACTGCCGTGTGAGGGATGTGTGAGGTTTATTATTATTGTTCGCGGTCCTGCGAGAGTAGTAGGCGGGGCGCAGAAGTTGGAGGCATAGGAGCAACTATATACCTTAACTGCCGTTCATTTTAAAATCTTATAATTTGTGTTAGAGAATATTAGCGGAGTACTTTCACACACGTAAAAATACCAACTGCTAAAAATAAGTTTAACTGTTTAAAAGTAACAGAAACAAAAAATGCACCCGTGTGAAGCAGGGTTTCATTCAACGTTTGACTAGACTTTTTAATTTGATATTTAAAGTAGTTTAAACTCAAAGTGAATAACTTAACGATTTTAACTTTAAGATTATTTCAACTAAATAGGTATTTAGTAAAATAATGAGTATAGGGATATTAGGCAACAACATGTTAAAAAAAACTTAACTTTTAACTAAAACAGCTATTCAATATTTACAATCTAAAAATAAAATTAAAGTAAAGAAAACGTTACCATTGTTACCGAAACTAATAAACTTATCCGTTATATTTATAACATTTAACTTAACAAGCGAAGCGAACGTCGTATCTCCAATAAAAGTTGTCTTATCCTATCTATATAAATAAAACAAATTATTTTATATAAATAAAACAGATTAGTTATTTATTTATTCTTCAATTGGGGGTGAAGTTAAATACATTACAGTTACAATTAAATTAATCAATTCTAAGCTGTTAGATAAACAATACTTTTTGTCTTTTTTTGTGGTGCGTGAACATATAAAGATGATGGTTTTCTGACGAGCTACACGTGACGTATAATTGTCCATGAAAGAAGGTCAACCAAGGAAACTCCAAGTTGATTCCGCAATCTTAAACGACTGTTCTTGCAATTTATTTATGGTCATCGCAAAGGCAAAATAAATGGAAAATTGTAGACGCTTAAAATCTAAAGGTAAATCCGTGGGAATCATCGGAATACGCGGGATCAAGATCCTCTTCTTTGTTATTTCACTTGATGATTATTGCCTCGATGACGTTATTAATTAAATGTTTCACAGTTATTCTTGTTCCATTGCACAGTTGTAATCACAACTGGTCCTACTTTAAATTTTAAGGTTTGAGTCCAGGCAGTTCTAAAGAATTTAAAAACCCTGTGGGATAGTTGACTACGTCATCCTGTTTCATAGCTGTGTCAACTGATTGGTGAAATCAACTCCCCTGGAAGAAAATTCTGTTCAGTCGTATTGAGATGATCGACATCTGTTGCTTTGCTCGTTCACTCAGCCAATTACGGTTAGTTTACTGTTGCGTTAAAAAACACGCTGAATAAGAGCCAACTGTTTTGTTAATTTTAACGCCTGCAAGCATAAATTATAAATGGTTACATAGATGTGTCGCATTAAATATATATTACTTAATTATGTTAATAATTAAATGTCAACAATTAATTAAATTAAATCGAAAGGCCGGCAACGCGCTTGTGTTCCTTAGTTCCAGATGACCCGTCTGCTCTTTTGTCCCCTCTTCCATAAAAAAAATATTATTTATTCTAGGTACTTGTTACTTTTTTGTGTAAGAGGGGGCAGATAAGCAGACGGGTCACCTGATGGATAGTGACCATCGCCGCCCATGAACGTCTGCAAGTCAGGAGTCACAAACGCGTTGCCGGCCTTTTAGGGAGGAGTACGCTCTTTTCTTGAAGGTTGTATCGGAAATACCCCAGACGATAACCCGTGCCTAAGATTGGCTGCGCGGGGCAAAAAGTGTCTCGATAAGCGCACAGTAGTACTTGATTAACTATTTTGATATTGCAATGGTATCCGTCTGCCCCCTGCTAGAAAATTATTGGATATTGTAAGGCGTCATCCTGTGCGTTTCAGACACATGTTTCGATTCATTATTCCGACTATGAAGCACGATATCCCTATCAAATATTTTCCGACAATGACAACAGCCACTTCGTCAACTGTATTTGAATTAAACCTCCTTATGTGATCACCAGGTGTTTTGTCAGCTCTAATAACGATATTATGGCTGTCAAATGGCATCCATTCAAATGCTATTTTGAACATTTTGAATAAATCTTTGTTCTCTAATTATTTCTAAAACAAAATCTAATTTTAATGTGTAGGTGACATACAAACATACAGTATATATTTTCACCATAAACAATATTTATTTATATCATATCATCATAAACAAACAAATATTACGTTATTATAATTAATAGCACCAGTATTTTTTCATAATCATTTTTCAAACATCCGAGAATATTATTAAATGTAGGTAGACGTGAAGAACATATTTTACGTTGCACCTGCCACCCGTCACAGCTTGCTACCGCCGCGATCATTGTATTCGGTGCCCTGCGCTAAAGATTGTCATAAATGTTGTAATATCCTTCGATATAGTTACTTATATATTGTTAATAGTATATGTATTCTCTCTGTTGTTCTATATACTTCCTACCGTTCTAACTATTATATTGTGCCTTCAAAACTGTAAACTTTATATCTGTGTATAGTATGAACATTGAAACTATATCGGTGAAAAGGATTGTTTGCTTTATTACCAACTACCAACCGTAAGTAACATTATACCCTAAAGACCAAAAATGTTATTCAAAAACTATAATTGAAATAAAGTGGGCATGAAATTGTCTTGTATAATATTCGTTGCGCCAAACGACGTCATTTGAAAACAACTGTTATATTTTTAAATATTAGCCAAGAACTGTTTGGAATCACTTCCATCCCGTAAACTAATGAGTAGAATGATAATCTTGTGGAGGGACCAATTGTTTCAATTTCACTTTTCCACCAGCACAACATAATCATGCAGATTCACCACTGTATTTTAATATTGACAAATGATTATCATTTCCCCAATAGTTACGGATTTTCGGCACAATAATCTATTCTTGGATCGTAGTGGAATGCTAGTCATCCTGGAACGAGCATTCCAGAAGCACATAATACGCTCAACTGTTGATGTTCATTGCGTCGTGCTCGCTGTTGTTGTGTTTGGTGTGCAAGAACTCGTTTCAATCTCAACGTAACCTCTTCATTTGCAATCTAGAACGCAATTCTAACATACCAACTCGACTTCTGCTATTATCTGTGACTCGCTGCTTATCAGTCAGCACGTAGCGTAGCTCGTCGCGCATTTAACTGACTTCTACGACCTAAGTCAGGTCGTCTTCTCCTTCGCAAAGTATAAAAGTTGCCGCGTACTTCGCAAATTCATAGTAAATAAAAAGTTCACGCACTTCACATACTCTCAAAAGAATTCAATTAATTTTGTATTAATTCAATTCATATTCACGACTTCACGAACACACATTATAAAGAAGGTATCCAAGGCTTCGCTAATCTTTGACAACAAACATACATGTCACAGTTGTTCAGAGATTAATCTTCATGCTACATAAAAGAATGTCTTGATATGACACTAAATAAAAAATAAATTGATAACAAACGATAAACGTACTACCTACTTTACCATATTTAATAAAATATAGTAAAGAAATATAAAAAAATGTATGTTTTGATAACAAATGAAATAAAATCAGAATACGTTTGATATTTGTACAACAGTTTGTATTTGAAAACATTGAAAATAAAATAGTTACTACTTTTTTACTACTTTCCATCTATATATTTTCTCACGTTTTAAACTTTCCTTGGACTTCCACAAATATTTCAAAATCAAAATTAGGCAAATCGCTTTAGCCGTTCTTGAGTTTTTGTGAGACTAACAAACGTCAATTCCTTTTTGTAAACATAGATACCACATTTAGACGGTATATTCGAATACTCAATTATGTAGTCTTATTTTTATATACAATTTTTAGTTCGATATTTTGTTTTGATACATCTGCAATGTCCTTCATATTTTCTTTTTTAGATATAATCGTAAAAAATAGGTCAAAAGTCAAAATGTCTGGCATATACATGAATTGACCTGGAAAGTTAATCTCAAATTGTACGAAAAGTTACAATAACAGTTTAATTTAAACTGGTAATGAATAAGATAATTTATATTACAAACATGGTAATGAATAAAATAGACCATTCAAAACTAATGAATTATGACCAAACATCAACAAATTTTTTTACATTTATATTAGCTTAATTATATGTTTGTATGTTTGTTTGTAATCGACTCCTTTGGGCGTGATTTTGACTGACTTTAAACGGTCAGAATTCGTTCAAACTTTGTAGATATATGAAGGACCGATGATAATACACTAATTTAAAAAAATAATTAGAAAAATAATAATTTGATAATTTTTTTAGTTTGGTTGTCTATAAAAAGCGTGTTTTTTAGTTTTTTAAAGCCAATTTTTTTTACGAATAGATCGTTATCATTTGAAGCAAAAAATTCTTAGGTCGGCTAGATTGGGCGCCGTACTTTCTCCCAATTTCGATGGGCGTACGCAGGTACAAAAGTAAGGGCATATATAACCGGGGTGCAATACATTTATTCTACTATAAGTTGACTTTCTAACCCTGAAGTAATACAAGTTAGTGATACCGATAAAACATCGCCCAAGAAAAATGGTGAAGCCAAGTGCAAGTAAGGTACTGTACTTTGTGTTTTATTTTTGCTCGATTATGATTTATTTATAATAGTTTAGCGACGACAATAATTTACTGTCCTATTAAAGTGTTTAAATAGGTAATGGGTAAAAATACATTAAGATAATTTAATTTAAATACATGAATTTTGCAAATAAAGATAACGTTTTATACGAGTAGCGTTTGACTATTTTAAATGTCTTTTTTTGTCTATCAAATCTAAAAAGTGTTATATCTCTCGTAGTAGTTCTAAAAACAAATGAAGTCTGCCAATAATATATTATTTTTATAAATAATTGTATGTATACATTTCAGGAATAGGAGAAGCCGACCAGAAGCGCACCAGGTCGTATCGATATCGTGGTTGTCCAATAGGGAAAAACCGGCTGCCATTTACAAGTGTTAGTAAATACAGTGTATACTTACATTAATTCTAGGTATAGTATGTTTTATAACTTTTATTTAATTAAGTTTCTTGTTTGCAGGAGGAACGTCGAGCTCGCAACTCTTTCTACGAGCGGGAGCGACGTAACGAGTTAGCAAATGCTTTCAGCGAGTTGGCTGCGGCCCTCTACGTGGACTCTAACGTGAGTTGATTTAACATTCAAGTCAATAATGCTTTAACTAAGACATAATTGGAAATTTACAATGTTTTCCTTGTTGTTCAAGATCCCAGACGTACCTAAAGGACAGAAAAAGCCGCAACCATCGAATCCAAAGTCATCATGAGGCAAAATGCGACGTTGGAGTGCAGCGTTGATATAATTGTAATTTGTGTCATCTTATCCAAAAACAGATGCATAGATTTGGTAGAAATAATTAATTAATTGCTACTTGTTAATTAAACGGGGTAGGTAGCTCAGTACGAACATCAAAAAGGTGACCCAGGCGAAACCTCCCAAGAGAAGATTTCTTTAGAGGCGTTGAGTGAGTGTTGAAACATTTTACATGAAATATCTGAATATAACTATTGCTAAACTTTTATTAATATCTTGACGTTTGTTTACAGCTTCAGATCAGATCAACTTTCAACTAATCAACAGCTTGATCGAATCTGAGTCAACTCAAAATTGAAGATGAAGGAAACTCATGTAAGTCGAAATCAAAATTTATATCAAATTTATATCAAAATTTATATTATCAATATAATAATACTTAATAATAATAAACTTCACACATCTCACACATGGCAGTCTGATCCCAAACTAGGAACAGCCTGTGCTATGGTAATCAGACTGCTGATAAACATACTTATTTATTTCTAAATGCATAGACATTATAGATAAATTACACCCAGACACAGAACAAATGACCGTGCTCATCACGCAATATTAGTCTTGGTTGGGAATCGAACCCACGACCTCCTTCTTAGCAGTTAGGGCCATTTACCACTAGACCAATGGGCCCGTCATATCTTCATAATCGGGCAATTGCCATCCACAGCTGAATGATGGCCTACCCCAAGGAGCTCCAACAATCCCAGTCTGGGGCAATCCGCATCCATCCGCTGCCAGCCATTTTCCTCAAGTAGTAGTCCATCGTGCCGCAGGGCGCCCTATTCTACGTTTGCCAAATCGCGGTCTCCACTCTAGTATATGTCGGGTCCAGCGACCATCAGTCCTCCTGGAGACGGGACCGGCCCACTTGGCCCACTGATTCTCTGTATTTATATATTTATCATTAATATTATGTATAACATTCTGAATTTTCAAATTAATTTTCTGTTTTACATACCTTGTTACTAGTTTATCCCTACTTCTCAGGTGTGCCTGAAACGGACCCTACATGCACCAACTTCCCAACGACCAGTTTTTCTGAAATAAACTGGTCGTTAGAAACTCACTTTTAACCCAGATAAGCCTACTGTCCCATATGTAGGACGGCCGAAATAAAAAAATATTTCAACTTACGCACATATTAACAGAATATATTTAATGGATTTGTAGTGACAAGCTAATGTGCTATTGAAATAAGAATTAAAAAAGTGCAGTTATAATATATTATCCATTTAATAAATATTTCATTGAAAAGTATACCTAAAAGTGCGTTGCAGACATATGGGACAGTAGGCTTATCTGGGTTAAAATACATTAATTTAATCAAGGCACGTTGCGCTTGTTCTATCTCTAAGAATTTGGTTTTACCTGCACTACCCCAAATGGGAATAAAATATGTCAATAAATATGAATAAATATGAACACTTCTATTGCAGATAGTATCTGATAGAACTTTTCGGTATCACATGTCTAATGATGATTTAAAAAGCCCGCTTAGTTTTCTAACCCTATCACTAACCCGCTGTGTGTGAGGGTACCAGGACAAACTTTGGTCAAACACTATGCGAAGATATTTTGTCTGTTTGAAGAATCCTTGGCTTACAAATGTACTTTTTTCACGCTTAGGCTCGAATTTTAAAAACACATATCATACAAAATTACTGAGATATCTTTGTCGTATTTTGTAAATATTACCAAAAGTTCACGAAGTACTTCATTAAAACTCACAGTTTTATTTATAAGTGTGGAGCTTTTTCAATCTGGTTCATAAATTGTAAATATTATTTAGTATTAAGTAATTAAAGTAAAGTATTTCGTAATCTTTAATTTAAGTTATATACTTTATTTTTGTCAACTTGCGTGCACAATTTAATAATAAATTACAGGATAGGTGAATATTTAAAATATGTGTCATTTGTTAGAAAATGCAATTATACCTAATTATATCGACGTATCAATCCTAAAAATAAATATTTATACAGAAACTAACACAATTGTATTAAGACAAAAATATTGACTATCCTATAGAAACTGCATATTTTCCAGAATACAAATTAGTTTTTTACTCGTCTCGATTATATCCAGTTACTAGTACCGGTACTAGTAAGAGTAGTACAGTTAAAGAAACCCTTCGATTTCAGGTAACATCATCTATTTCTTCCACTCACGTTACTGGGGCGTGACGTGGAGTGACGTTAACTAGTGCTGTGGGCTCTACCACTCTGTTGTTGCCTCTGGCGACGTAGCTCGGCGACCTCCAGGCTCAAATTCTCAAGTGCCGCGGCTAAACTCTAACTCCTTTACTTCTGTGACAGCCATTACAGCCCGAACTGCCGCCAGCAGATGACTATTCTAAATGATCTGCAATCTGGTATCTTCGTTCGTGCCAAGTCCCCCATCCGCCGTAGGAGTAGCGAAGGTTTCTGATTTCCGAGCTCCATCTGTCCTAGCAGCTTCTCAAACTGGTGAGTCTCTGATTCTTTGAAGACTTGAAGTAATCTGTCCTTCAAAGTATCACATCTGCGCGTCTCTGGTGGTGCCAGAAGTAGATCGCTGACCTGCTGGGTAACGCTTTTGTTCAGTTATGTCACGACCAAATTTAGTTTCACACCATCGCTGAGTTTTTCGTTAACTACTACCGCTTCTAACTGAACGAACCAGAGTCGAGGTTGGTCCGCCCAGAATTACAGGTGGAGTAATGCCTGAGGTAATCATTGTCACAAAATTTTCACAGTTTATAGGGGTTACCACTTTAGGGTAATTTGTAATATTGTGTTACCTAATACTCTTGGGATATTTAAATGAAAGGTATACACGTGTTCATGTAAACTGGGTTTATTCTCAACTGACTTAACGGCGGTTGCAGACGCCTCTAGACAAGTATGTTTTTGCTTACGCTACCTGAATTGTACACTTACATATTAATTTTTACATATGAAAGGAAAGTAAGTTGGTAAGAAACTTTGTGTCCCTACATTAAACAACACTTCCGGATTCGATGAACTCTGCCCTTATTTCAGATAACTGTGCCCTTTTTCAGGCAAGCAGTGGTGAATGTTAGTTTTGTCTTCTTGACTGTCTTCCACATTAACGACCGGCTCCGATCGTTTTGTAGTATTTAATTTGTCGAATTGTTCGAGTAATGAGTTTGAATTATTAGAAGCCACATTAGGAATATCAGCATGTTTGCACGACTCTGTGTCCACAAAATCATCCAACTTAATTGTTGGCTCTTTTACTGCACTCGCAGCTTGTACAATTCTTGTACTTTATTCTATGCAAAAATCTAATACGGTCGATGTATGGGTAGACGTCTTCCTCCTCGAACCCATCATTAATGAACGAGAACTGATGTGAACTGATGCTTCAATATCCATGTCCTGAGGAGTTAAGTTATCGCCAATTTGTTTGATGGGTGCACTGTCCAACGTAAATTTGTTTGGTTTACAAGCTTTATCGTTTCCTAATCTCAGATCTGAAAGATTTAAGTCAAGACACTCAAAATTGTGGGAAGTTTGAGGACTTAATGTTGTGTACGTCATATCGTCAATCAAATATCTATTTAAATCTTCAATTTCAAATGTTATTCTTAAATAAGACTCATTGATGGCAATATCAACCAAATCGTTCTCGGATTCTGGTAACAGTGGCTCAGGTCCGACTTCAAAATACTCCTGAGAAGGTGTGTCATCATCGGTGATGATAAAATATGTATTAGAAGAGTATCCTCTCATATCAATAGGAAACAAACGAGCATGGTGATAAGTCGAATGTAGAACTAGTCACTATGCAGTCATGAATTTGAATTATTAGAAGCCACATTAGAAATATGGCCATTCTGCAGGATTTTGTGTCCACAAAATCATTCAACTCAATTGTTGGCTCTTTTACTGCACTCGCAGCTTTGCTTCTTGTACTTTATTCTATGCAAAAATCTAATACGGTCGATGTATGGGTAGACGTCTTCCTCCTCGAACCCATCATTAATGAACGAGAACTGATGTGAACTGATGCTTCAATATCCATGTCCTGAGGAGTTAAGTTATCGCCAATTTGTTTGATGGGTGCACTGTCCAACGTAAATTTGTTTGGTTTACAAGCTTTATCGTTTCCTAATCTCAGATCTGAAAGATTTAAGTCAAGACACTCAAAATTGTGGGAAGTTTGAGGACTAAATGTTGTGTACGTCATATCGTTCATCAAATATCTATTTAAATCTTCAATTGCAGGTAATATTCTTAAATAAGACTCATTGATGACAATATCAACCAAATCGTTCTCGGATTCTGGTAACAGTGGCTCAGCTCCGACTATAAAATGTTCCTGTGAAGGTTTGTCATCATAGGTAATGAAACAATATGTATTAGAAGAGTAAGGTAGCCGAAACTGTGTAGTATCTTCTTTGGGAAATTTGTGTTTTATTATATGTTGCTCGCTATTTTTGCTTTTAACGGCGTATTCGTCGACATTTGTATTCACGAAGGACTCCAAATATTCGTCTTCTCCGTCCTGGTTTATATAACTCGTGCAACTATCATTATTTATTAAAGAATATTTTTCAGTGACATATTCTTCTTCATCGTCTTTTGAAGATGAATCGAGTACTGCTGAATTAGGGTTTACTATAATAATAATCGTATCATTCGTATCGAAGTCACGTCCTTCTACTAAACGATGGTCGTCTACACTGTTATATCCATTTAGATACATATTAACCTTTATGTCGATGTGATGGGATTCAATTTCATCACAGACTTTGACCTCCATATGATCTGCCAAATATTCACCACTGTGTTCTTTACGATACAATACTCCTATCATTTCTGACTGTACCATATTATTTTCAACAGATGAACTGTTATCATCGGAACTAATATCTGACACGCTGCTGTGAGGATATTTAGAACTATTCTGATTGCAACCGCTGTCTGATGACAGTGAATCATTCTTCACACAAAGAGTCTTAGATCCAATAGGAAACAAGCGAGCATGGTGATAAGTCGAATGTAGAACTAGTAACTATGCAGTCATGAATTTGAATTATTAGAAGCCACATTAGGAATATGGCCATCTTTGCAGGATTTTGTGTCCACAAAATCATTCAACTCGTTCATTCATTCGTTTTGGTTCTTTTACTTCACTCGCAGCTTTGCTTCTTATACTTTATTCTATGCTAAAATCTAATAGGGTCGACGTTGGGGTAGACATCTTTCTCCTCGAACCCATCATTAATGAACCAAAACCGATGTGATGAGTTGCTTCAATATTCATGTCCTGAGGTGTTTAGTTATGACCATTTCGTTGGATGGGTGCACTGTCCAACGTAAATATGTTGGTTTACCAGCTTTATCGTTTCCAAATCTCAGATCTGAAAGATCTTAGTTGATATCCTCAAAGTTGTGGGAAGTTTGAGGACTAAATGTTGTGAACATCATATCGTTAATCAAATATCTATTTAAATCTTCAATTTTAGGTATTGTTCTTAAATCCTACTCATTGATGACAATTTCAACCAAATTACTCTCGGATTCTGGCAGCACTGGCTCAGCTCCGACTTTAAAATGTTCCTGAGAAGGTTTGTCATCATCATTAAAGAAAAAATATATAATAGAAGAGTAAGGTAGCCGAAACTGTGTAGTTTCTTCTTCAGGAAAGTTGTGTTTCATTATTTGTTGCTCGCCATTTTTGCTTTTAATAAAGTATTCATCAACACTTGTACTCACGGGGGACTAAATATGTATCTCCTCCGTGCTGGTTTATATAACTCGTGCAACTATCATTATTTATTAAAGAATATTTTTCAGTGACATATTGTTCTTCATCGACTTCTGAAGATGAATCGAGTACTGCTGAATTAGGGTTTACCTTAATAATAATCGTATCCTTCGTATCCAAATCACGTTCTTCTACTAAACAATGGTCATCTACACTGTTAGACCCGTTAAGATACATATTAACCTTTAAGTCGATGTGATAGAATTCAATTTCTTCACTGACTTCGCAGCTCTCCATATTCTCTGCCAAATATTCACTACTGTGTTCTTTACGATTCAATACTCCGTTAATTTTTGACTGCACAATATTCTTTTCAACAGATGTACTGTTATCATTGGAACTAATGTCTGACACGCTACTGTGAGAATATTTAGAACTATTCTGATTGCATCCGCTGTCTGATGACAGTGAATGTTTCTTCATACAAAGACTCTTACATCTAATAGGAAACAAGCGAGTCGAATGTAGAACTAGTGACTATGCAGTCATGAATTTGAATTATTAGAAGCCGAACATCAGCATCTTTGCACGGCTTTATATCTACAAAATCAAACAATTAAATTTTTGGCTTGTTTACTGCACTCGCAACTTTGCTTCTTGTACTTTTTTCTACGCAAAAATGTAATACAGTCGATGTCGGGGTAGACATCGTTCTCCTCGAACACATCATTAAAGAACCAGAACTGATGTAAAGAGTTGCTTCAATATCCATGTCCTGAGGAATTAAGCTATCACGATTTTGTTTGAGGGGTAGCGCTTGTGGCTGCATGTCTGGAAAGAAAAGAGAAACATCATTTATCACTCAGGAGTCGACATGTACATGAGACAGAGAGTTTAATAAGAATGTTAGATGTTATTCTTGTATATTTTCAATCAATCAAATTTACAAATTATAAAACAATTATGAAACTATCGCGAAGTCTATCGCAAAATTGACACATCGTACCGTTTAGGCAAAAAGGCAAAATGTGGCTTATTCATTTCATTACTGCAAGACCATATTACAGAAAAGAAATGGACAGTAAATATTTTTTTTTTACCTTAAGTGTACCGTCACAAACGGCCAAGCCACAAATTTTGACTAAGGTGTAGAGTTTGTAAAGTAAGGGTTTTTAGAGTTAGGGCGTGTAGAGTTAAATGATGATGAGTGTGTGTGATGAGATGATGAGTGCCGAGCCATGTGATCTTGCTTTTTTTTTTAAATTTTAATAAAAGTGGGGGCTATTTAATAATAATGGTGAGGCCAAGTAAGTTTATGTGTTAATACATAAATATTTTTACTGACCTATCCCCGAACTATATCCCCGATAATTGCATGAAGGAGCTTCATAAACGGTGCGAATTACTCGAACCGCTTTAAGAGCTTGATGATGACAACGATGTTGCCACGATTGATTAATTAGCAAGGCAAAATAATCACAGTAAACATTTATTTAGAAATCACCTCACCTTGACGATGAATCGGTTTTCTTCATAACTTCTCTAAAACGTTCCTTGTTAATTTTTAAACCGTTGTATCGTAAAGATAAGGTTGCTTTCGACTTGCCATATACAATTGATTTTTTTTAAACATGTCCTCTATAGTTTTAACTCCCATACTGAGCAAAACAATTTTTTCATTATTAGTTGGTACCCGAGGCGTCTCGATACCTCAAATCTTAGATACTTAACGGCTTGGTCATTTCTGCAATTTTAGAGAAAATTCAGTTTCAGTCATTAAAGGTTGTAGTTGAAAGTTATCAACTTTAGGAATCCCACTCTTAACTATATCTTCATCTCTCTTCCTACTCGCTTCAGCCTTTTGTTTTTTAGAATTCTTTAAAAGAAATCTAGAAGCCTCCTTAATTGGATCAAAGAATTTTTACTCGTTGTTTACCTTTTCGGCGGTACTGAGATATCCATTAGATGCTCGTATTATAGGACACTCGTCAGCTTTGTCTGGCCCAGGGCTTAGCATGTTAGGGAATATCGACTTGGATCTTATTTGTGCAGAGCTAGTATTGGTAGGCATACCTCTTCTTAATTTGTACTCATGGAGAAAAAAAAATATTTTCTTAATCCGTGATTGTGTCTTTGTAGTTGCTGATTCGATAACTGTCTCTTTTCGGTTTTGATTATAAATATCACTCGCTTTACAAGCAGTTTTAGACATCACAGAATTATTTTCCTCTTCTTTAAAACAATACTAAGAATTTTGTTCTTAGCACAGCACAATCATGGGAAGATGAAAGTTTTTTACAACATTGCGGCTGTGCAGGGAGCTTCGCACTCTGCGTTGCACTAGTCTTGGAATTTTTTTCGCTATTTTCTTCTACACTACTGAAGTGGTAAACAACTGTTTTGCTTTTACACGACCTCTATCTAAAATTTGGATTTTTATTGTTACTGGACAACACTTCCGATTTTGGTGAACTCTGTCTTTTCTTCAGATGACTGTGTCGTTTTTCGGGCAAGCAGTAGTCAATGCTAGTTTTGTCTTTTTCACTGTCTTCAACATTAACGACCGGTTCCGGTCGTTTTTTAGCGTTTAATTTGTCGAATTGTTCTAATAATGAATTTGAATTATTAAAAGCCATATTAGGAATATCAGCATCTTTGCACGACTTTATATCCACAAAATCATCCAATCCTATTTTTGGCTCTTTTACTGCACTCGCAACTTTGCTTCTTATACTTTTTTTATGCAAAAATCTAATACGGTTGATGTGGAGGTAGACATCGTTCTCCTCGAACCCATCATTAATGAACCAGAACTGATGTGATGAGTTGCTTCAATATCCATGTCCTGAGGAGTTAAGTCATCACCATTTTGATTGATGGGTGCACTATCCAACGTAAATATGTTTGATTTATCCGCTTTATCGTCAGATTTGAAAGATCTAGTTTAAGATCCTCAAAGTTGTTCGAAGTTTAAGGACTAAATGTTGTGTTCGTCATATCTTCAATCAAATATCGATTTAAATCTTCAATTTTAGATATTATTTTTAAATCCATCTCATTGATGGCAATATCAACCAAATTGGTCTCTGATTCTGGTTTCAGACAGTGGCTCAGGTCCGACTTTAAAATGTTCCTGAGAAGGTTTGTCATCATCGGTAAAGATAAAATATTCATTAAAAGAGTAAGGTACTTGAAACTGTGTAGTTTCTTCTTCAGGAAATTTGTGTTTCATTATCTGTTGCTCGCCATTTTTGCTTTTAACGACGTGTTCATCGATATTTGTAATCACGGGGGGCTCTATATTTGTATCTTCTCCGTCCTGGCTTATATAACTCGTGCAACTATAATTAATCATAAATGAATATTTTTAGTGACATATTCTTCTTCATCTTCTGAAGATGAATCGAGTACTTCTTAATTGGGGTTTACCATAATAATAATCGTATCCTTTGAATCTAAGAAGCGTCCTTCCACTAAATAATGGTCGTCTACACTATAAGACCTATTTAGATACATGTTAACCTTTATGTCGATGTGATGGGTTTCAATTTCTTCACTGACTTCGCAGCCCTCCATATTCTCTGCCAAAAATTCACCACTGTGTTCCTTACGATACAATACTCCGTTCATTTCTGACTGTACCATTACAACCGCTGTCTGACGACAGTGAATCATTCCTCATACAAAGAGTTTTATATCTAGTAGGAAACAAGCGCGCATGATGATAAGTTGAATATAGAACTTGTGACTGCATGTCTGGAAATTAAAGAGAAACATCATTTTAGTGATATTGGCAAAAATATCGGCGACTGTTTCTTACTCAGAGTCAATGGAGTCGACATATTCATGAGACATAAGACAGAGAGTTTAATAAAAATGTTAGATGTTATTCTTATATTTTGCCAATCAATTAATATACAAGTTATGGAACTATTGCGAAGTCAAACTTGTAACTCTACATGCCCTAACTCTACATGCCCTAACTCTACACACCATACCCCTTAAACAAAAAGGCAAAATGTGACATGTTTGTTTCGTTACTGTACAATAGTCCTGTCTGTGATAATGGATAGATCCCAATTCAACGTGGCCCGACCGTTCTCGAGAACTGGGTCGGGCACATACCTATAGTATGGCACCTCTAAGTTCACAAGGTATTATTAATTTTGACGTCATCTTGATGCCGTCAATAGTCGACTGCGTTCAACAGCCTTTGATAGTCCACTGCCGGACATAAACCATAGATATACCTGAAGAAACTAAAATATATAATCACACCACTCGATACTTACTTATTGCGACGGGCCTGGTGGTCTAGTGGTTAGTGACCCTAACTGCTAAGCCGTGGGTCGTGGGTTCCATTCCCACCCATAACAAATGTTGTGTGATAAGCACCGTCATTTGTTATTTATCTGTTATATGTATGTATTTAAAAATATACAAGTATGTTTATCAGCAGTCTGTATACCATAGTACAGGCTTTGCCTAGTTTGGGATCATACGGCCGTGTGTGAGATGTGTGAGGTAAATTATTATTGCGAATAATATTAATAACGTTTATTTTTACGAAAAAAATACAAACAAAATCTTCAACAAAGACAACGCAAACGGTACTACTAATATTGGTGCCCAAAGTAGGTCGGAGCCTGTATTTTGGGCGATAAACTTCGAATTTGCGACAATCGCAGCAGTGTAGAATACATCCCTGTTCTTCTTAAGTATGTGATATACTTAAAAAATAGTGCGCGAATGTAGAATGATACATCGAAACTTAAAACATTTTTAAGGGTTGCAGTAGACCCATATTAACTAGGAATTTTAGAATAGAGTTCCTACAGAGACCACCCATTTACATCAATTGTATAAACTAGATATAATATAATTATACATAACATAAAGAAATTTTTTAAGTAAAAACAAATAGTTACTGATATTTTATGATTACGCACAAGAACAATTAAGTAATAATCGGACGAAATCACTCAGATAATTTGCTAAAGATTTTTGTTTTGTTGCAAATTTGAAAATGTTATTTTCTCTAAAATAATGGTTACTGGCCAGCAATTCTTAGAAAATCAATTACCATACAGGTTTGTTTACACAACCAAACAACGCGGGCGCATTGTTTCCGCGGCACCACACAAAGAGCGGACCTCCTGTACATTTCTGTTTGCTGCTTGTTTCCTTTGAACAGTAACAAAAAAAATACAGTTATGATAATCTTCCTAAATATTTGTATTTTTAACCATCATTTTGGCCTATTCTTCTTATTGTGATATCTGTCTGCAGGTCTGGTTATATTAAAATATAAAAACACTCTAGCAAATCCAACTATTGATTCGAAGTGTTGGTAGTTAGGGTTAATTTAAATGAAGATAAAATAGGTAGAACATTAAGCATTTTTTTTAATAATATAAACCGCGTAAGCTGCAGAGCTGATTTTATTCGACAGTGCATCAATATCTGGGCCCCCACTGCAATTTAGACTCTTAAGTTATATTGAAAAACTTTGCGGTGTCCAGAAGATCAAAATCCTTTTCATTTATCAGAACACTGGTTTTTACCTCCCTAACATTAGGTGTAAAAAATCTAATAAATTTAGTTTTATTCTCGTTTAAAAGTAAATTATTAACATTGAACCAGTTCACGACCTTAGAGAGAGTGCTATTCATCATTAGTCACTGATTTCTGTCGTTTCCACAAAAATCTTTGAAAATATATCAAACCCTAAATAAAACTATCGGTCATGTTTCCCTGGTAAAAGAACTTGAAAGTTAAACATAAAACTATACAGTATAAATTGGACGTACCTAATAGACATGAGAGAGAAATGGCACCTCACCATTCCCCGCGGGAGTATAACTTTACTAGTACAGACAGGATTAATTTTTATGGCATTAATTAACTCCAGCTTGTACAACATATATGCAGAAGGTGTAAATGAAACTTGGAAGGTGTAAGCGACCAACAAGAGCATGCCTCTTCCACTCGTTAGTAATCCCTGTATGACCTATTTTTCATTGATTTATCTATTTTCAGAAAGAAGACGAGCACGATTCCTATGCAAGAGAGTGTCGGAACGAAACATCGATTGCTATGATAGAGTTGACTGCGGCACTCGCTTCTGAGGGTGACGTGAGGTGGTGAAACATTGCGGGCAATCTTTACATAGTATAAAATAAGGTCGCTTTTTTTTTCTTGTGCGCTTAGATCTTTTAAACTAAACAACGGACTTTGATTCCAGAGGAAGGTTAAATGTACAATAATTCAAAGTTTTCTTGTAAACTCATTTTTCTTATGCGCTTGCATTGCAAACGCTGACTAAACCTAGATAGATCAAAATAATGTGCTACTGAATTTTAATTGTATCTTAGAAAGATCTAGTATTATGTCTACCTCCTAAGGACAACCCACAGTAACTATTACAAAAAATAATGGGTCATTTACGAAGCTATTTTGAACAATACAGTATTATTCCGTATTGAAAAAAAAAACGTTAAATACGTTGTGTACGGCCAGCAAGAGCTGAGGTAGTATAGTCTTATCATAATAATAGTGTAATTATTTACCACGTTATTGGTAGTAGTACCTACATTGCACCCGTGCAAAGCCCGAGCGGATCGGTAGTATGAATATAAAACATAAAAATCATTTTAGATTGCCTATTCTGTTTGTATATCAGATTCCAAACAGAAAGGTGTTTTCTTAAGCTCTCTGCAATATTGGGAAGAGGTCCTCTGTCACACGCCTTTAGTTAATTACTATTCATTGACTACAGTTCAAACGTCGACGATGACATTGGCTCTTAAAAATAAAATAGTAGAAAAAAAAGCATTGAAATCCCCTCTCAAAAATAAAAGCGCACAATGAGTTTTCAGATAAATTGCAAAAATCATCTGTTCCTATTTAACTCCTCAGGGCGGCCTTTGGCAAGCAGGGGGCGACACTCATGTACTTACCTAGCGCACTTACGTAACTGCCTTACATTTTTTATTTCAAGTATCATCATTAAAACTAATTCTACATAGACGAAAGCTTCGCAATGACCTACCAGACAGGGGCTTCGCAATGATCTACCTGCCCAGAGCCCCGTAATTGCTAAAGCCGCCACTGTGTCTACTGTTGTAAACGTCTGGGGGGCCAGGTAAAAATTTGGTTAATTATTTTCTCTGCAACGATGAGACGCGTCAGGGAATAGTGTCAAAAAGCCACGTGCACGTCAGCTGTGGTTCCGTGGGGGGAGGGGAGGGGGGGTGAGGTAGCCTTCCAATCATGAAAAAGAAATTTATTGAGTCATTTCCGCCTAACTAAAATCTTGTTTTCATTGTAGTTAACCCAATATCCCGAAGAAATAACAATCAAATAACTATAATATAGGTGAAACTAAAGAAAACTGTATGTCATTTCCTCTCAAGTAAAAATTTACCTGATGATATCTTACATACAACTACGGATAAATATATATGAACATACTCTATCACTGTGGCAAGACCATGGGCCTATACTTATCGCGATCAAACAGAGAGGCAGACGCGGGGGGATTAGTTCTATAAAATGTAGTAGTAGTGATTAGATAGTGATAATGTACCATATTTTACTAGTCAAGACTTTTATTTGATACCTATGTTGAGGGAGTTGAACAAAAAATGAAATCCGCCATTTTGTGGTGGCGGCCATCTTGGGCTTACAATGGAATATATTATCAAAATAAAGCCCAAAATCGATCTAAGTGGCGTGTAATGGAAGAGGCCTATGTCCAGCAGTGGACTGCGATAGGCTGATAATGATATATTATTGTATTGTCATCAGAAATAAAGGTGTGCACCAAATTTTTGATAAATCGGTCAAGAGGAAGGGGGTAAAAAAATTATTACTTAATTTGACCCAAACAGGTCAAGGTAAAAAATAAAACCGTTTAACAAAACAGCTGACATGTCCTAGGTTGTATGATACAAGTCTCTTTTGCATTCCACTAATCATCGCTTGAGAGAAACTTGGTCATGTAAATCTGTTACGGGCTCATGGACTATGATATTAACACCTTAATTGACAGACCTACTTACTTATATTTTGATTTTTTTACATTTAGAACTTATTAAGGGGAAAAAAAACTGATGAGACTAATATATGCTTAAACATGGATAAACGTACTGCAAGTATGTCGGTGGTTTCGAGCGGGGTTTCTTAAAATACGAAAACTAAAAAAAACGTTGATTGAAAAAAATATAGTTTCTGATATTGGAGAATATATTTGAAAACAAAAAACACCTTAGAACTAAGTGAAATGCACAGAAGTTGCTTTTAATTTCAAACAATGACTAGAATAAAATCAGTACAATAAAATAAAAACACAATATACACACTAGGAAAAAAATTACAAGAATAAAATACAAAACGAATAATTAAATACTAATAATAAAGTTTAAAACAGTCATCAGTCTTGTGGTAACTAAGATTACTTAATGTTAGAAACTTTCTCAATTGTGAAACTTTAGTCGGTTCATAGCAGAGCTTCTGTTGGCAAACTGTTATTGATCGTACCTGTAACACACAAATTGTAACTATTTATATTCCTACAAATTGTTCAAAAATTTGTATTTTTAATTTATATTTTACATTAGTTGTTATAC